ATCATGATAACTTATGCCGCAAATAGATTGAATTCAGTTGTAGATTTGAACTCCAAAAATAAATTCCCATTTTCTACAGGTCTAATTCCATTCAATAGTGTCAATTTCTAACATCAGGCTACTGATGTTAGAAATTGATTTAATCCTCAGTTGCATTTGCTATATTTGCTAATTGATCGAGTTGCAGAAGAGTTATTTAATGTAATCCCCAACTTTTGCAAATGCAGTCTGTGGCTTTCAGTTCTGCTCCTTTTGCCATCATTGCTATAGCATGGTTCGTGCTGTTTGGTCTATTTCTGTTTTGTGCTTGTATTTGTTGCTGCTGCTGCCGCCGCAACAAGCCCTATGGTTATTCTCGACTTGCTTATGCGCTTTCTCTCATCTTTCTCGTGCTTTTCACCATTGCTGCAATGTAAGTCCTCCAATATACAGCTCATTTTTCTAGGCCTAGAATATTGTTTACGTTTTTGGATGTCTCTCCATGATTTTAGATTACTTTCAACTAGTTGGGTTTCATCACTTTCAGCGTTGGATGTGTTATAATGTACATTGGAGAGGGAAGATTCCAAGGCAGCGTAAATGGTGCTACAAAATACATTGTGAATCAAGGAATAAGCGTCGTCAATAATCTTATAAATGTATACAATTATCTCTCCTCAGCCAAGAATATTGCTTTGAATCAACAGTTTCTACCTCCTGATCTCGTAAGCCAGATCGACAAGGTCAACTCCCTAATCAATGCCACAGGAAACCTTCCTCATGTCACATCAGCTCACATTACAGACTCCGTACTAGTATTTCTGAACCCTGTGTATGTCAATTGCTTTTGTATCATTCATTATGATTTTTGTGATCACAAGAGAGTTAGTACATTAATAGCTTTTTTTTTTTTTTGGAAGGTTACATTAATAGGTTATTTAATCATTGCTTTAATTGGTCTTTATGGCAGGAACATGGCTCTTATCACTATTACTGTTTTCCTTCTCCTATTGGCATTTCTCGGATTCTGTAACCCTTTTGATTCCCCAAACTAAATGCTTATCAGTTCAATTTAATAAACCAATTATTAATCTGTCTCCCTCACATTGTTGTTGTTGTTGTTGTTGTTAATGGATTGCAGTATTTTCAATTCTTGGGATGCAAGCTTGTGTGTATTTGTAAGTGACTTTGCTATGCTTATAATAGCTTCTTTCTTTGTTTCTTTTTCTTTTCCATCTTCTCACTTAAAATTTACTCTCTTCAATTGCAGATTCGTGGTCATTGGTTGGATTATTATCACACTCACATTTATCTTGTGTGGCATATTTCTCGTTTTCCACAAGTAAGTCTAAACAAATCGTATGCATTGATGAACTTCAAGTGTTTACGGCTAATTGCAGAAGGAATTTAGGTGTCCATCTTTTGCTATATCTAACCCAGTTTTCGCCAAAACTCAGCATAGTGGCTGACACATGCGTTGCAATGGACGAATGGGTCCAAAACCCCATGGCCGATTCAGCAATGAAGGAACTTCTTCCTTGTTGGGACAGGGGATTTGGCCAAAATGTCTTGAATGCAAGCAGATCAGTAACCACCAGCGTGGACGGTCTTTTGAACGAGTACATCGTCCTTGTAGCCAACAACGATACCTTACCCCCAGAAACAGTACCTCTTTATCACAATCAATCTGGTCCATTAGTACCTGTCTTGTGTAACCCATACACAACTCAACAGGGCTGCGGTGAGGGTGAAGTAGCCTTGAGCGACGCGGCAGAGGTAAAAAAAAACTAGAAGCTTTAGGTGTTTTGCAGCTTCGAAAATTGTCCAATGTTTGACTTGATTTATTATGTTTCATGCAGGAATGGAAGAAATATGTATGTGAAGTTTCAGCAGCTGGTATTTGTACCACAATTGGCCGCCTGACCCCTGACATGTACAACCAGATGACTTCAGCTGTTAATGTAAGCTATGGGTTGCACAATTACGGCCACTTCCTTGCTGGTATAGTAGACTGCACGGTGCTCCGAGACACTTTCAATGACATCAGTCAAAATCATTGCCCAGGGCTGAGGAAATATAGTGAATGGGTCTATATAGGCCTTGTAACTGCTACAGGTTCAGTGATGTTATCTTTGATCTTGTGGGTGTTGTATGCTAGAGAGAGGCGGCACCGGAAGTATACCAAAAGGATCAATAAAGGGTATGATGAGTCTCCTCTTGTTGGAGGGAGGAAGTTGTAGAGAATTGAGCAGGTCACAGCATCATTAAGGCTCAAAACTTCTCTTCACATGACCATCTCAGAAATCTGCACCCTTTCTTTGCTATGAAGAAATGAAAAGTACAAATAAAGGGTTGGATGGAATCAATATCTGCAACATTTGAAAATCACAGTTTCAAGGTTATGTGATCGTGATTGTCCTGCCTCATGTGGGAACAAAATATTGTTCATAACTAGACTCATTTCGGTTCAAATAAATGGTACATAGAAAGTTCATTAGTCTTGTTCATATCGGAATTCTAACACCAACTTAGGGTTTAACTAAGTTAATTACAAACTGAGATAAACCTAGCTCAATCTGCGATCACAGTATTTTAATACTTATTTAGCTTCATATGGGCTTTACTAGTTTTTCATACAGACCATTTTATTTAAATAAAATAAAATCAATTAGCAAAACCTCAGAGTGAAAAAGTCAAATTCTCTAGTTACCAACATGGTTTGTATGCAAATGACTCCTAACAACATATTTATGCCATCTTAGATTAAGCCACAATTACATGAATAAGTATTCTCCTAAAATGCATGTTACTAATATAAAATAAAACTTTGCAATTTAATAGTATAAAATTTATTGGCTATGGAGCACATCTGATTCTCTGAATTGGATACTGTTTGCAAGTAATCTGCTACCATATATGTGGATTGGCGTTTGCCCTCTTAGTTTACCATGCTCAACCAAAGTACAAGTCAAAAGGCTTTCAACAACAAAGCCAAAGAAAAAGAATAACTTTGAATCATAAGCCTGCAGAACGTAGCATAATACGACAAGTTTCTTTTCTCTCTGTCTTTTCTTCCGAGAAACTGTGAAACTCAGGTTTGTCATTGCATCACTTTTTTTTTCTTCAAACGACACAGCAAGAAACGAAAGCGTTCAATGCAATGCTCTGTACCATATCACGTCCGTTTCTTCTCTTTCCAACGTTTTTCCTGGTTTTTTCAACCTTCTTTTCACTGTCTCGTGCCTCTTTATCTTAACATGTACCAACCAAACCCAATCCAGGTACTTACCTTGTCTTGGTTTGATGTTCTTAAAGCAAGAAACTGGTATTTCAAGATACTATAAGCATGCATTTCCTAGGTGGGCTTTGGCCTTTTTATGATTTTTTCCAAACTAACTTTGATTTTGTCAATTGGTAATGATTCTTGTGTATAGGGGTAAGGGGTGGAAGTAAATATGGTGTCGTATCAGATGGAATGAGAAGGTCTGTTCTTGAAGGAGTTTATGTTAACGTTATAGAAAACTCGATTCTGGTATTAACTCCAGAGAGAACTCGCAGGAAAGACCCTCTTGAAAATTTTAACTATTGCAAGGGTGGATGGAACATTAGCGAAAAGCATTACTTTTCTGTGAGTTTTCTTGGTTTTCTGTTACATTACCTTATCTAAATTATATCAAATCCTTTCATTGCTTTACAACTTGTGTTCGCTATTTAGTTGGTTTATGTTGGGTGTTAATGGTTCATATTCTAGTTATGATTATTAATTAGGGCATTAGTTCTTTATCAGTGGCAAGTAAAATTTGTAGGATGCTCATGATTCAGTAAGAATTGGACTCTCCCTTCTGCTCATATGATTTCCTTGATGTCTGTGCTCTGTTAAAATTTTCTCCTAAAATACTTCACAGATTGTTAATTGTTTGATCTCCCACATATTTGTTTTATCATTTTCCTTGCATGATTTATCCATTAGGAATTAAACATTGAAAGTTTGGTTCCTCAACCTAAGGCTTTGAAGCAATTCATGACCCAATTCATCACTTAAATAAATTGTTGGATAGAAGTCATGCTTTTAAATCCTAAAATATAAAGACAGCTTTATCTGTTACATGATTGTGTTGTGATTGGTTATGAATTTATTTTCTCTATTAGGTTCTTTAATGTTTGTGCACATATATTTTCTTTTTTTTTTTCTGACTTCATGTGCAGCCTGGGGGATCCCATTATCTCTCTCAAGATCGGTAGTTTCTTGTTGGCATTAGTTCCTGATGCACAATTACAACCATTTTGTTAGCTTTGTTGGGATTTTAGGTACCTTTCCTTATGCAGGTTCTTGGAATTTTCTAGTCTTTTATAATCTATTGAATATTTAATATTTATTATCATCCCACATAGAGTTTGGCATATGCAATAACAAGATAGCTATGCTATTCACTGATAGTTTTGAGATATTCTGAAATCTCTGAATATGATATATTATAATGTTTGTATTCAGATGTATTTCTATAACTAAAAGACTATATATAGCTAGACAGTTAGAGCTTGAATATATTTCTACTTGTATACTATAATTTTTATGGCTGGAAGAAATTGCCAACCTAACTCACGTGATTCATGTCGTCGGTGCAGTCAGTTGGATTTACTGCTGCTCCTCTGTTTCTCATTGCTGCATTTTGGTTTCTGGGATTTGGCATGTGCCTGTTAGTGATCGCTCTCTGCCATTGTTGCTGTCAACGCCAGTGTTACAACTATTCTCAAACCATTTATCTACTGTCTCTTATATTTCTCACACTTTTTACCATTGCTGCAGTGTAAGTCCTTCCCACAACACTTTCTTCTCAGTTTGCTCAGTCATGGGTCGTCATTTGCGTATTAAATTGATATTTGGATAATATAATTGTGATTCCATTCTTAAGTACTAATCCTTTGGTTTCAGCATTGGATGCATTGGCCTGTAAATTGGACAAGGAAAATTTCATACCAGCACAACAGATACATTGGAATATGTTGTGGAGCAGGCAGATATGACAGCTGATAAGCTTAAGAATGTATCCGAATATCTAGAAGCTGCTAAGCAGATTCAGGAGAACCAAATACTTTTACCTCCTAACATCCAGGCCAACATTGAGAGGGTTGATAAGAAGATAAATGATTCTGCTAAAATTTTGGAAAGAAAGTCAAAAGGAAAATTCTGATAAGATTCGACATGTTTTAGATCACCTGTAAGTAAATGCTTCCATTTCAAATTAGGTTCAGTAACTGCCATGCAGAAGACTTGGTTCTAGAGAGTGTTATGCTAGGATTTATCTTGGTTCTAAAGGCATTGTCAATCTGCCATGCAGAAGACTCGCTTTAATCATCATCGCGGGTGTAATGCTGCTTTTGGCTCTCCTCGGTTTCTGTAAGCATTCTAACCCTGGTATCTGTTTCAAATTGTCTAAAAAGTATTGACCTCTAATGGTCACAGAATTAAGTTGTCTTTTTTATTGCTGCATTTTCAGTTTCTGGCATGCGTTTTTGTGTGTACATGTGGGTGACCTTTACCTTTTCTTTCCGTTTTTATTATCCTTCTGTTAGTTTTGTGTAGTTCTTTTCATTTTGTCATTATAGCTATGATCCAAATTTCATTTTGACCTGTTTGAGTTATTGCAGATTGGTGACCATAGGGTGGATCCTTGTCACAGTCATCTTTATTTTGTGTGGCATATTTATCATAGTTCATAAGTAAGTCATACAATTAATTGAACAGATTTTCCTACCAAGGGAGCCTATGGTTGCTGTAATATGCCATGATAATTGTTGCCGTTAGGAACATTAAGAAGCTAATATTTCTTCTCTTGCTGTCCTGGAAATAGGAGAGACAGCACCTATCATCTAACTTGCCTACGTCAAAATTATTTCTTCATATTTTGTTTTCACATTGGTACTGATAATTTGGTAGTACATTGCAGTTGAGCCTGTGCTGTAGATTCTGACATGTTGCACATCAAGCCCCTCTTGATTTTGCCAACAATTACCTGTGGCAATTTTTTATTCTGAATACACACATATATCTGATGATTGAGTCTTAAAATTCTGCTTAGTTTACAACAGATTGGGTAAAAAACTGATAATAGTTTACCCATTTTCAATTCTAGCTATTTCAATAACAGTGCAAATGCGTTAGATGCTTATGCCGGCTTCTTGGGTTATGATGTAAAGACCGGAATTCCCTTGGAGAGTTGATGAGCATATGCAATCAAAGCCCCAATCCAATTGCTAAAATTTTTAGTTTAAGGCAATACTTCATCCTTTAGTATCAAGTCTTTGCTGCATTTCCCAGAAAACCATCACTCTTTCAAGTGGTATGAAAGCCGAGGGTTTGTCTTCTACGGTCTGGCAAGCCAATGTTGCTGGTAGGCTCCCCATGCAAAGATTACACCTTTAGATTCTCAGCGAGCAGTGGCTTTTTAGAGAGTAAATAGGGTATGCTGTGACTATTAGATGGTTGTGTTAAGTAGGTCACATGAGGGGAAGTGATGCTAATGTGTTTGGGCATCCCATATAAGAAGGAGATGGTTAAAGTACAAGACTGGAAGCTGTCCCAAACTAGGGAAAAATGCACAAGTCAATGACTATACATTTAGGTCAATGGTGGTCTAACATATGTACGATGATTTGGCCCTTGATAATTGATATAGTCATATAGTGATGCAACAAAATGTGTATATGTCTTTCATTGGTCATATTGACTGTGTGGATTCTCTGATGAAAATGCTACTTTGTTACTTATAACTCGAATGTGCATCTAATTTACTTTTCTCCATTTTTCAGTGTGATGGACGATAGTCGTGTTGCTATGGAACAATGGTCCTGTTTCCTACAGCTCATACTGCTTTGGATGATATTATTCCATGTGTGGACCGTGCAACAGCTCAAGAAGCATTATTTGAAAGCAAAGATGTTACTACGCGCTTGGTTGGTATTGTCAATGCCTTAATCAATAATGCGGCTAACTTGAACGTTCCACCCAATACCAGCCCTATTTACTGCAATCAATCTGGCCCACTAGTGCCAGCCCTCTGTAGCCCTTACAACTCTGACAAGGCAGACAGGAAATGCAATGCTGATGAAGTAAACTTGGGCAATGCAGCACAGGTAAGCCAAAAGCAAGTGTGAAATCACACATATAGAATAAGATGCATGATGCATTTAGAAAAGCTGGTGTCGTCCTTTCAAGGAATGGAATAGAGGGAATATCTTTGGATAGAGCCTTTTATGGAGTCAGTCAAGGAAGTAACTTTTAGAATCTTTAGATATAATTTTGAATGGCAGGATAAAGTTTAGCTTCTATTGGGTTGAGTTGGTGGAGAAATCACAAAGTATCCATTACTGGAAACTTAATGCTAAAACTGGGGTGAGGAGCCATTCTATATATGAGATGAACTGACAAAGCCCCCTCTAACACTAAAGCTATCTAGAGAATGTAAAAGTCCGTGTCAACAGTGTTCAGCCTAGGCATAACTCTTCTTCTATGGGCAAGATTGAGGAGTTTACTGTGAAGTTAAATTATGTTACTAAATTACACTAGCACAATATCAAAATCATAATGTGAGAAAACAAATAGAAAACAAAGAATTATAATCTTTTTAAAAAATTGAAGAAGCAAGAATACAGAGAACTAATAACTTCTATAACAATTTCACTTGACTTGTGCATTACATAACTTACAAAAGAAAGTGATTTATAAACTGCCTAGAACATACAAGTTAATGCACTAAGACTCAGAAAATTGAAAAGACAAAAATAAAATCAAAGCAGATAAGCATAAAACTAATATAAGTTCTAGTGGCTTTTATAAAATTATCTTATACCATTTTTAGCACTCCTTTTTAAAAACAAGTCCAAGTTTAGCTCGAAGCAACTCAAAAGATCCTTTTGATGGTGACTTGGTGAAGATATCAACAACATTCTCTTTTGAGTTTGCACTTTTGCTACATCAATGGTATCATCTAAAACTGTCTCACAAAATGCTGCTCCAAGTTAATATGCTTTGTTCTTGCATGATACGCTAGATTAACAACTTACTTCATGGCACTTTGATTGTCTCCAAAGATGGGACTTGACTTGTAAAGAGGTAAATGAAGATCATCTAAGAGTCTTTGAAACCAAACATATTCTTGTCTAGCTTTGAGATACTCGTTTCTCCACACAAAAAACATAACCAGAAGTAGACCTTTTATAATCCAAATTACCACCTAAATCAGTATGTGCATAGCCAACCAAAGAAACATCAGTCCACTCCTTGCTTTGAAACCAAACATATTCTTGTCTAGCTTTGAGATACTTGTTTCTCCACACAGAAAACATAACCGGAAGTAGACTTTCTATCATCCCAATTACCACCTAAATCAGTATGTGCATAAGCAACCAAAGAGACATCAGTCAACTCCTTGTAAAACAACCCCATATCAAGAGTAGAATTGAGTTTTCTTAGCAACCTCCAATTGAGGTTTCCTTGTGCTTGCATTTAGCAACTAACAAGTCCAACAGAGAAAACAACTCAGAATGGAACAACCAGACCAGAAAAATCAATATAAAAGACAATTGTGCCAAAATCAAAGAGTAATACAAGGCAACAACCCACCCAAAACATGACTAGAACACTCAGAATAAAAAGAAAAAGCTAAAACATCAAAACGTTGCAACAAAATCAGCCAAGACATTTGTGAATCCTTCTTATAATTGGTCAAGTTCAAAGCATGTGAACAAGGTGCCACCAAAATTCAAACATAGATGGAGCCACATGAGTGACTATCAAAAAGAAGAACAGGGCATCAGAAATCATCACAAGAAACAAACCAACAATGGCAAACCAAATAGAATTTAGCCATCAAACCAAAATCAACATAAGAAGAACAAACAATCAAGAGAACTAGCAATGAAGAAGATCAACAAAATCAACTTGAAAGAGAAAAAAAAACTTAATGGAGAATCACCAAATCGCAAATAAAAATCCAATCAATACTAAAATGTAACTATCTTCTAAATACAAAGGATAGTACTCAATTGTTAGACATGCAATTGCATATTATTAGTATATTCAATTCCCTTATAATTGGGACAACACTACTTTTGTTTTTTTTTTAAAAAGGTAATTGAGACAACTTTTTTTCTTTTTTTTTTTTGCAATATTAAATTAACTATTGTGAAAGAGTTATTTCGAGGGCGTAGACTGGGAGTTTATATCAATTTTAATTTGTAGATATTTATTTTTGGTGTCCGTGTCAGATCAAATTAGTTGATCTAACCTTCAAATCAGTGATAGACTACTCGGTTAATTCCATTTCCACACTTTTGAGATGCTACGAGTTTAATTAAGGACTTCTCCCCTCGAACTTTCTTTGGAATTTTTTATTATCCCATAAATCATTAATTATTAATACATGGAGTACTCTACTTCTACATAAAATACTCTTAACATATTATTACGAAGGAAATTGCTAAAATGGGTAATTAACATGGAGAAAATAATTGTTCCATATTTGAGTTTTTTGCACGCTACGTTATTATGTCCGAAGAGACAGAGTGTTAAACCATAAATAAGGGACCAATTAACATTTTCTATTAAGAATTGTCCAAGCACACTTTGAGCAATAACCAATTAATAGTCCAATTGTACTCTCTAATGTTTCAAGTTCCTATTTAGTTTAGGAAGGGGGATTCAAATTGTACACTTTGAGTAAATGACACATGCACTACTTTGTTAGGTAAATGAATTCCAGCCCATGTTTTTAAATTGGCTCACGTAAGGAGCCTTTCTTGCTTTGCTTGTAATTTTTGGATGACTTAGATGGTGTCACATAGCTACATCCAATGACCAAGAAAGTTGGTAAGAGGAATCCTTTCTTTTCTCCAAATTGGGTACCCGTGGAATAAAACAAAATGAAACCTTGGTGCTGGTGTATGCGAATAGGAGAAGAACAAAGAAGATGTTTTTGCTCCATGTATAGAGTGAGAGAGAGATAAGCTTTTCCGAAAATTGAGTTTGTTTGATAGTAAATTTAGAGATTCCTAAAGAGATAATTTCATTGTATTATTCTAATTATTATATGATCTTAAGTTTTGGCAAAAAAAAACTTGAAATATTAAACTTTGTAAATTTGCTTATTTTTCATATAGTCGATTTTATCTGGTTTGCCCTATGATTTCTTCCCTCTAAATTGAAGGGTTTTGCATGTATATTTGGTGATTCCACCAAGTCAAAGGATGTGTGGGGTGATGGTCAGAAAAAGTTGGGCAGAAAGACTTTAGGCACCATTAGAAAATAAGGTGATACTAGTGTTTTTGGGTTCCTTGTTACTTGAGGATGCTGTCTTCTTTTATGTTGTTTCCAGTGCATTGAAATTGGTAATAGACGTTGCTCTCCTGACATAGTATGCTCCTGTGTTCTTGTTTCATGCTTGAGCTGGATGTGATGAAGGAATCCAGTCCTGTCAATCAGAGCTAGGTATCATGGGACTTGCTCTGCCTGTAGTTGCTAGTGTGTGCTGTGTCTTTGACCTCAATCTTGGTTTGCATATCTTTAAAGGGTGTTCATGTTATTTTGAATCGGTACTCTCATGTCTTTTTTTCTTAATATATTAGTTTTCATGGTTTGTACTGGAATTTTCCATTTGTGGGAACATAATTTTCTTATCTACTTAATAGAAGCTTTTCTTTTGCCTTTGAAAAAACCTAGAAACAGCTGTCTTTGTCACCAATAAATTAGCTTAAAATGAGATATGTATATTTCATATGAAAATGAGACAAAAATGATACAAAAGGAGTAGTGGTTAACAAAAAGATACCACTCTGCTCCACAACATACATAATTAACAATTCCTGCTCTGTTAACTAGCAGGTCAGAGGAGAAACAAAAACCTGTACAAATGAATCAATCCAGAAGAGATCAAACTCAAGCCTAGAGAGATTAATCCAACTGACAAGCAGCAGCAGGAAAAACTCAAGAGCCTTCAAGAACCTTCAATAATGGAGATAACATTAATACATCCCTCAAGCTCTGTCTTTAAAATTTTATTTTATTGCAAATAACAACGTGCCAGAAAGCTTCAAATTCAAAGTCCTGACCCATACTATTTTGTCAAAGAAGAGAACAAGAGATCAGGTCAAAGAAAAACTACTTAAGCCCACGGAAGCACTTTTGGAAATCCATGTGCTGAGCCTGGACTTTTGGTTAAGTAAACAACGAGGCTCAAATCTCAACAGCTTTGTGATTCTATGGGCTGGAAATAACACAAAGCAAGACATCAATCAAGATCTTGACAATCCAACTTCCATGCATAAAACTTCAAAAGAGCACCTGGTTTTTGTTGCTGGAAAGTACAGAAAGAAGAGGGGAAAGTAAAAGGCAGAGAAGAGAGGTTATTTTCTAGTTATTGTATGTTAGTGGTTCAGTCAGAGTCTAAGAGTAGCAGCCCAAGTGAACCTCACATGTGTCAAGTTTCAGACTTTAACATTGTACAAGAAAAAAAACACAAATCAATCTTAAAAGTTGTTCAGATCATATTCAATCCCAGCATTTTCATGAATCTACCAATTAATTTTTTAGAATTTAGAAATATTTGCATAATATATATATATTCTTGTTTAAAAAAGGTCAAATTTAAATCATTTAATTCTTTATAAAATATGAAAAAAAAAGGAGAAAGATTTCGAAGAAATATATTTAAGATGCATGGTAATTGTTCACTAATTTGTAGAATTTACTCAATAAATACCAACCTTATATAAATTAGACATACACATAATCGTGCATTCATGCTACAAATTTCATATAAATCTAAGTTTGTATGAAAACATGTAAAATAACCTTCTTATTCACCATGGCATTGGCTTTCTCTTTGCTTTCGGGCTAAGCAACTTCTTTTTAGTAATTTAATAAAGTGCTGATGAATGGTTGCAAATAAACTCAAATTCAGAAAATTATTTGATAAAACCTAATTAAATTAGAATTGAATCAAACTTAAACTGATAAAAAATTAAAATTCTGAATTTAAAGAGATTAAGATTCGAAATTAATCTAATCTAAAGTTGTAATTATCTGAAATTAACACTAAAAGAATAAAATTTAATTATCAATTTCATTTTAATCCACACTCGAACTTAAAACAATTCAAAATCTAAACTAAGCAAACACAAAATGACATGTTAAACTCAAAATGATTGAATATGAACCTTCTTGTTTGTCACTAACTAATAATGATATATTATCCCTAAAGGAGAGAAAAACTTTATTTTATTAGATAAATTAAGAATATTGA